TGAGATGGCCAGTGGCACCGCGTCAGTGGATTGTTCGGTTACCACAACCGCGGTCGAATCGAAACAGTCCGGTGAACCGGAAACACCGGTCACTTTGTCATCGTCTCCATCGAACGGGATTCGTATTATCCCTCACCTGATTCAGACCAACCCACATGTTCGATGGCTTGGAATCGGTAAGTGGCACTTTTCGCTCTCCCAGTTGTTCGAAGGTGTACTACTTTGACTCTACCGGGATTAAAACTAGTCCACTCAGCTTCCGTGGTTTCAATTGTTGTCTTACAATAAAACCGGTTAAAAACCTGGTAAAAAGACAACAGACAAAATGCATATGACGAATTAGGGTTGCATAAATGAACTCCAATGCAAGGGCGCCGTCCATCATTCACAACCTGGATTTACAAGCCGATTAGGGTATACTTCCTGGTTGGGTCATGTGTCACGAATGCTACCAGATAGTCCTCTACGGTGAGCGATGTTTGCCGAGGCAGATAGCGGTTGGAAAAAGGTCAAGAGAGGTCAAACGAAGACCTGGCATGAGGCAATGGAAACCCTAACCACGAGACTGGGTCATATAGGTCCCGTTAGGCTCCCTGGCTGGGTACCCCGAGATCATGGTCACCGATGGTTAGAGACATAGCGATGTGACTGGGTGTCGCAAACAGTGACGCCCGTGTATCCACTCATTATTCTTGTAACATCAGTCTATATGGATTCTCTATACCCTTTTGAATTTGCTCTCAACATTCCAATCTTCCCTCTACTCTTTTATGTACATGGGCGGCCAAAAGACGGCAACCAAAACCGGCGCACAAAAGTGCATGGGTAATGGTTGTAAAGACTGAAACGTCTTGGTTTTGGTTGCTCGGCGTGGAGTAGTGATATACATAGTTACGAAGATCCATTGCTCGGCCACGTAAACCGGGGTAGCGGACCAATAAAAGCTCCGTAAGATCGATATATCGATGAACCTGGTGATGTTAAAAAGTGGCTTACGATGAAGGAATAGTGGCAGTGACAGGTTGAGAACCTATCATCCAACCGGTACGCGTTAGGGACAGCGACTAATATCCCTTGACCATCAATCACATCAGTATTCTAATCCCACGAGTCCGAAACAGTTTACTGAATCAGATTAATTCACGCGTGAGTGACATGACCACTAATTTGATTACGGTTAATATAAAACTTCAACCCAATTGTAGTCAATAGCTGTTAACCGCAGAGAGATGCAAATTTCCGTTTTTTTGCTTGTTTTTCACCGAAAATGCTGTTTAAGGATTTGACTAGCTGTCCACTGGAGTTTGAAATCATGCGTCATCCAAATATGGCATAGCTCCTTGTCTATCTAATTTATTTATGTACGCAATCCTGTCAGGTTACCCAATACAACTTAGTCCACTTTTTAAGGATTCACCAGGAAGTCTTTGGGTAGCTGAACCCCTTTCGGCAAGGCCGTAGATCGGCGCGCGAAAACCAAACCAACGGGAATCAATGTCCGGCCGATCGGGTGTTACACCTTAAGACACGGTTTATGCATCCGTTACATTCTGTGGCCCACCCGAACCATGGAGATTCCGAAACCATGGGTGATGAGTCACTTGGTACGTATCGCTGAAGGTTTACGACCAATATTTTTCAGTCCCGTTAGGTGAGGTAGCTACCCCTGTCTCGTCCATTCCAAGATGACTCCAGACATTGGCTTCTCATCCTTTTGGTCAAGTGAAAATGCTCATCGCGAGCAGAGAGTTTATAGGATTTCCTCAACAGAAGTCTTAGGAAACCAACTTCAAAAACATTTCTTGGGATGGGGTGGGGTGAGATCAAAGTCGCAAAGGAACTTGGGCAGGCGACAAATAATTCCAGCGATTCAACCGATCTTTTTAGATGAATTTTTGGATAATTCCCTGGAAAAGTCGTCTCTTCAGAAAACCAGAAAACGGTTTCTATTGATTAAAAATGTCTTTGCGAAATGTCATTAAATTAATGGACTTTGTTTCTTATTTATACATGCATTTCTCTTTGTGATAAAGTAAATACGTCAGAAAGGACAAAAATAAGTATGTATTGGTCGATTAATGAGGTAATAAAAAGATCACCCGCTGTTTATGATGCAAATATGCGGAACAAACTCACAACATGATGACTGATTACAACGATTTCATGGACCATTAATACACTGGCGTAGAACATATTGAGATGGAAGTTTTCAGTCTCATGATAGTATTGCGCATCTACTACGCCATCTCCTTCATACGTGATAATATGTAGTATATCAATAATTCGACAAAATTCCCTAAAAGCTCACACTAGTTTTCGTGGCTCTTGCCACTCGTTAGGCATGCGTATCCGGTAATATTTTGTCAGTTCATTCATGTCCTTGTATCCAGGACGTGTATTTTTATTGCAAGAACCAGTTTCCACCCTATATATATATATGTCTGTATTTCCCTAGAAAGCCTTTGCATAGCCGCAGTTCTCTTCTTTAAAATTGACTGTACATTTGTATATTCAATAAATAGAAAAAGGAAGTAAAAAGACATTCAAAAAAGACGTGAGTATCGTTTATCGTGCCCTCCGGAAACTAAAGCCGCTGTTGTCTATTTGGCCGGAAAATTTGAACATGTGGTAACCTTGGATTTCATGAACGAAGTATCATTTTATGACAGATACTCTAACTACAACACTACAGTTAAAGAAGATAAAAAGCGCTCTGATCAGTTACCCGGTGGTCAAGTAGTATACCTGTGTAATATTCACTATTTTGTCTGTTACCCAGTTTATTTAGTCTTACAAGGTCAGATTCACTCCACTTGGATAAGTTGTTCGCACTGTGAATTTATTTCAGGCATATACTTTCTCACGTTGTTTCCGTTCTTAGATGCTGCTTGCCGGGGTAAAGAAGACATAGCCCCACCGTCCACTCGTGTGCTACGTTGTCTACGTCTGGATGGCCCGTTGAACGCCAACCCGGGCACATGCCCACCACCACCCGCGTCCACGAGCTACGTGAATTGGGGTGCCGGTGCTGGGACGCATCACACACAGCCCGGCGAGAATGAGGCAAGCGATCAAGTGACGACCACATTTCACGCTGCCCACGTTCGCCCACACAGCCCAAAAGGGGATGCGGCCAGGGAGATTCGTCGCAAGAAATCCGGTAAGTCAGCCCCGGTAGGAGTTTATCATTTCTTTCCTTCGTGTCCTCATCTCATCTCTCGGTGATTCATATGCAACGTTTTCAACGAGAGAGAGGCACATCGCTAGTGCTTGGGTTATTTGTCAGAGCTGTTGCATGCTCAACTAGTTGCTTGCCGGATCCACGCTTATTGTTCACACTGCCCAGTGCTATGATCGTGCGAATTATCTTGATGTTGAAGTCCCGGATAATCACTATCCGATACGATCTTTCTTCCAAATAACGATTCCGCAGGTTGTGAAATGAAATAAATCTAGAATCGTGTGGGAATTCCTGTATCATACAAAAAAACATGCTTATTTATGAGAAACAGAGAAAGTATGTGTTGTGGGGTACTACTCACATTTGTGAGTAGTATAGTTGGAGTACGCAAAAGAACTCGATTGGTATATATA